AACCATTAATGCTATTTAAAGGGCATTCCCATGATCCATTGTTGTTTCATCCACCAAATCACTCACTAAATGAATGATTGCCATAAATATAAGAATGAAACCATACTTACAGTAAATAGCTTATGTATTGTAACTTAAGTCTGCTTTTATCTGACAGAGAGCAATGAAGATCCAAAGACAATGTGTTTCATGGCTTTCATACTGTTCTTTCTGATTGATTGTTAGTCTTTCCTTTTCAAATAAAACTCTACTGCATTGGAGGTTAGAAGACAAGACAAAGTCAAATGTTAGCTTACTGTATCAATACTGAGGCTACTGACTGCAAGAAAGTCGCATGGTTTCACTGCTCTGTGTGTGTGTGTGTAGATGCAAGACAGACAGAGAGGAAGTTCAAACACAGCCAGCAACACTCGAAGCAGAGCAGACATGCAAACAAATGCAGTAAGATGGCGATGAGAAGGAAAGACAAAACCCAAAGAGTAAAAACAGAGAAAAGTCAAGAAACAAAGGGAGGAGGAAAAGGAGGGGAGGGCAGGGGACAACCAAAATAAAACAGGGTTTGTGTTGTGTTTATGGTTGTACTGTGATGAAAAAATATAACATAGGGAAGAAAATTTTCTGCCTATAAAGCAATAATCACCTTCGCTTGGGATGACTAGAATGTACGGCGTTGTTATTTGTCCCCTACCTATTACCACTAAGGCCAAGGGCCGCACGTCCCCGCCGGAAAGCATGAGAAAGAGAGGGAAGAGAGAAAACAAACAACAACAAAAAAGAAAAAGAAAGAAGAAAAAGTCTAAGAAAAAAAGACGTATAGTTTTCTTTATCCATTTCATCAAGGTTTAGATCTCCCTGGTTTTCAATTGCACAATCTGTCTTAGAGGAGAGAAATTGCAGTGGTGAGAGATAGCACTGGAACATTAAGATCAATAGGACATCTAGCACTCAAGATGTGAACTGGGATATGACTGGTCGTATTGCCAGGAAGTAAGCGTCAATGAGCATCTTGACTGGCCCATTACCAGGAAAAGGCCTAACAGATGTGTTGCTGGTGAGGATGTTTATTACCAAAGAGTGAGGCAGTGAATGCAGATGTGGTGCTGGGGGGTTAATATTTGAGCCTGTTAAGTCTGTCAGCTTGGCTTGACGGGTTAATAAAATTAAAGGGAGTAGGAAATGGAAGAGAAAAGAAGTGATGGTTGAAAGAAAAAAAAGGTAGAAACTTTGTGGCATGGCAAAGTTGGTGCAAAGACACAACCTGGCCTCTGGGTTCACCCAGAGACAAAATCACATCAGTTAATACTTTCATCAAGGTTAAAAACAAATAATTTGTTGACAATTTGTTTATAGCATCTATGATGAGGCAACTAGGTGGCTTAAGTTGGCTCTCCCTGTTACCCAAACAGATTATTGCCTTATTAGCTTTAAACATTGAATGGCTTACACAGTGACGGGGTGGTAGTCAATTAGGAGCCATTATATAAAATTTTATATGAACTATTTCTAATCTACATTTCTCAGAGACACAAATAGTATCATTGATTACGTTCAACATCAGTTGGTTAAGCCAAAGAACCAGTTTTTCAGATAGTAGTAGTAGTAAGTAGGGTAACATTAAGCACATTAGATTGCAAAGAAGCAATGATACATGATACAGTCTACTGATATACCCAAGCAATGGATGAGGCAACAGTTAATTAGAAAGTTTCTATTGTTTACTCTATCAGGAAAACCTTTGTGTGTGTTATTAATGGCCGATTACAAAAGAAAAAAAAGACATGTCTTCAAATCATAATCAATATTTAATGTTTGTGCTTAGATGTATGGTTGAGCTTGTTTCAATGCAAGTTATAATCCGGCAAGGCAGCATCAAGCAGATGTTCTATTGCTATGGTTGTCTACCATTTAAATATACAATATGAACTGCTGTAGAACAGTGGTAAAATGTCTATCAGGTCATAAAGACCATATCTTTTAATAGATATCAATGGAACCTAGCATTGGCACTAGTTTTAAAAAAAAGGTGAAACATAAATAGCATCTTGGCAGACCAAAAGACAGGCCAACCCTAATTCATGCTCTCTTGTACTCATGAAGGTCATCGCAGATAAAGTGTAAAGATTGTGCTTTTTCAGTTAGTAGCAAGAGCGCTAGTTATGATTATTGCACATCGTCTTTGCTCTTTTCTCTTTATCTGAAGGCTTCCATAACCTGGCCACAAACATGGTTCTTTGGCTTTTTCTGTTAAATTCCACTCAAATACGATTTGTCAGTGAAATCAGCTGCTGTAGAGAGTGGATAACAGGTATCTCAAAGAAATTAGTCATAGGCATTTGCTGAATTAGCCATCTGCATTGCCTCAGAACGCAGCCCACATATCAAAAACTTTTAAAAAGTACACTTCAAGTAGAATTGAAGTTTGTTTTTGGAACACTGATAATTCTTCTATCTACTATTTTGTGAAAAGTTAGTATTTTGTCATATGAAAGAGAGCCACAAAGTTAAAAGCATGTCTTTTCCCAAGCACACGCACATGCAGACAGACAGCAAGCAGGGTCTACACACTGTAGACCTCCGCCCAAAATACTTTCCACTCAAACAAACGCAGCCTGGAAATGGATAAAGCAAGAAAAAAAGAATGATATAAAAGAGAAAAATGTGCACAAATGAGTAATAAATGCTTGATTTAGACAAGAAATAATAAGAAAGCAAGAGACAGAATGGAGAAAGGAGATGTAGAAAAATCCAATCAATGTTTGATGCAGATGAAAAAATAAAATAGACAAAAGAGACGAGGTGAGGAAAATCAATAGCAAGCTGAAAAGCTTTTCAAAGCACATTGCCTGGCACACAAATGGATGTATTTGCCGGAGATGAGCAGCAAATAAAGATGGGAGACATGGGGAAAGCAAAACAGAATAGGATGAAATGGGTTCTGGGGCTAACGCTTTAGCCTCCATCCATCGGGTTTAATGAAGGCGGTCAATCGGTATGTAATGGCCCTGATGTTCCACTTTATACACTGATGAGCAACATGGATGCAGTATGAAATGGAAAAAGAGAGAGCAAGATAGAGGAAAAAGAGAGAGAACGTGAGACAGAAAAGGGCACTAAAAGAGACAGATTAGGAGAGGAGAGACGGAGAAAGAAGAGAGACGGAGAGAGAGAAATGCTATGCAACGAAATCATGCAGGATAACATGGTTAGGATGTGGGGTTGCCTGGGCTAAAGGTTGTGGGTTCACCTCTATCAATGAGAGAGTCTGTGTGTGTATGTGTGTGTGTTCATCTCATCTAACACACAACACTGTAACACTATTCTAGGGGGTCATGTAATCACACTATAACTCTACAAAGAAGTTCAATTAGACATAAAAATAATATAATTTTGTCTTCACTATAAGTGCACGCTAACTACCAATGGAAGAGTGCTCATACCTTTGTTAGCCAGACGGACACAGTTGATTTTGGTTTCCTGTGGAGAGAAGAGAAAGACAGACAGACTGGTTAGGTAACTAGTGGTAAATAGTAGGACAATTCCCTCAAATAGACTCACATGTTCGATTTTTAAATATTTGTTAGAAGAGTTTAGTTTCTGAGCGTGATATTTCAAATTAGCACAGTCAGCCATCTCTGTTGGAAGCAGCACAAAAGACCACCTTGTGTTTTTGCAGGCTTTGGACACTCAACGACTTCTCATAACTATTATATTGTAGCTAATCCATCCAACTCGCTGGTTTACTTCCAGTGGGTTCTAGGTAGTATCGAGTAGAGACCATTTTCACAACTCTTTGTTTTACACTCAGAGATGTTTTGACATTCATGAACCCAAAGAATTGTGTTAGCAACGTGAGGAAAATCGCAAGTCGAACAGCAAACAAACATCGACGCTGTAAAAAGGAGTAGTGTCCTTGAATGCACAACAACTTTCAAAACACTTCCAGCTCACAACTTCAGTACCACATGATGGCTACTTTTATAAATTAAGCTTAAAAAAAATAAAAAATAAATAAATAAAGGTTCCATGTATTGTATCAGTCTAATCAAAGTAAGAGGCGACCCAGATTTAAAAAAATAAAATGGGTGAAAAACCAATAGCTGTCTTTAATCGAAAATCAATTTAGAATCAAATGTCAGGTGCTGCTCTGCAGAGAAAGGTCAGCAATATTTAAAAGTGCATTCGATTTATTGTTAATGGTGGAAAAACACAAAACCGTGTAATATGTGGATTAATAGAGTACCCACACCTTGCTCATACGTTTACACACAATGCTGCTATTAGTCTTTAAATGTGATCAATGAGCTCATAAAACCATGTTATTAGTTTCTTATTTTGTTATATTTTGCAATACACTGACCAGCTTGATTAGTCTCAAAACAAACATATTATTAATATCAGGATCAATATGCTACTGTGTTATGTGCTGATTAGATCCATCATTCTCAATTCATACACACTCATTATTGAAGCATAAACACGCACACTGCACACCTTCATTCAAGTACAAACTGTATGCAGCCACTTGTTTAAAGCACAACCTTCCTCCCCTCCCATCTTGTTTTTCAATGTTATTCTCTTAATTGCTTCCTTTTTGTGATCCATTTGTTCCTATATATGTGTATTGTACACATATTGTGCAATAACTGTAAAAATACTTGTTTTGAACAATATTATTACTCTTTATCTTAAAAATGTGCATGCCTAGACATAATTTGACCTATAAATTACCGAAGCGGTACTAACAGGACAGGTCACAACATCTCTCCCAACCTCTGTCTCGGCTGTTCTTTCTGTCCAGCCCATATGTGCTTTCAGTGCCCTCCTTTTTCTCTTCCTCACACGTTACATTCCCGTGGTTCCACCATTCCTGTCAGTCTCTTTCTGATTGGCTGTCACCTCCTGAAGAGACGCGTGTTTTTCTTTATCCCAGCTCTTTTCATTCCTTCACTGCTCCTGTCTTTTCCTCTTCTCTTCCCTCCATAATGTGCTGTCACCAGTAAGTGTACGTATCTAACCCACTTGTCATACACAGATTGGCCTCCTTCACATGTTGGCCCATTTGTCTTCATCAAAGACGATTACTACAGCAGCTGTCGACACTGACACCTGTCACTTTGGCATTCGAACAAAAATCACTCCCAAGGTACTGCCTATGTACATTTATTTCCCTCTAAATTTGGCATTTTCAGGTTATATTAACATTGACTATATTTTATTTGACAACTGAAACCTTGAAAGAAAAGTACCTGTTAAAATCCTCTACAAGCCTAATGTTTAGATACATCAGACCATAAATGAGATAAGAATTAGGATGGAAAAATGACAGATGCCGATGGAGCCGAGTGTTTCCGGGGACCAGACCTCACTAAATATTGCACAAAAGCACACAAATTTTATAACTGTATTCACTGATTGCTGGTTTTCTCTCTGATGTCCTATTGCTTTATTTGTTGTTAGTGGTTGGCTACTTTAGCTGCTAACTATAGCTAACTGTAGCTGCCATTAGTTCAGTTAGCCATGCAGCTAGCCATCCTATTAGCTGACAGGAAACAGCAGTTAGCTATTTTAGCAACAGAAAGTCTGTGACTCAATAAGAGTTGACGCCGAGCATACGGAGGACATCAGAGGGAAAACCAGAAAATATGGAACTTTCAGAACCGAAAAAGTACTTTCCTCAAGACATACTGAAAACAATCTAATAACTTGAATAGTATTCCTTAGCAGAGTGGTCGAATAACACCTGACTGAGCAGGTGGATGAGTGCATCCCTTTAATTCATGGGCATTCTGTACCTGGAGCACATAACCGTATAAAGAAATCTGTGACATGCGAACATTGGCCCGTTGCGTAAAATAGAACAAATGTTTACATACGGTTACCTCATTATTTTACAAGAAAATAAGGGGAAGCATGATATGTCCACTTTAAACCACTTGAACACCAGACATTCTGTGCACTTAACTTCAGAAATTAGAAAATACAACACAAGTTCCAAGTCAGCATTCATTTGGAGGACAACTGGAATTTATGTGAAAGTGAAAAGGACTAAATGACAGCTGCCATACACACATAAGTGCACACATATATACACAGGAGACGGTAGCCAGGAAATCATCTTGCAATGCTCAAAACTGATCGTGTTGATTGATGAACGGTGTCATTGCAATGTGACATCTACCTGCAGGTGTCACACTGTCAGAATATGATGGAGAAAGATCGCACAGAGAGACAGAGTGCATAAAGTTTAATAATTCAGTGTTTCTAAAATAGTGTGTCTGCATTATGTGAAAGTGGATTTCAGTTACTTGTTCCTCTTTCCTTTTTTTTACCATCTTGTGTTTTCATTTTGTGCAATCAATCAGTCACAGCGAAACAGAAAAGGTATAATGGTGAGAAAAACTGAAGAAAGGAACATTTTTGTTCATATGCCGCATATTTGTTACTGTCACGTTTGTGTGCTTGTGTCTGCATACTGATGCATCTGTCTTTGCGCGTGCCTGTGTGTGTGTGTGTGCTGGGAGCCGGTTTATGAAGTTAAAGAGCAGGGAAGATGAATGTTAGTGGATGATGGATGGTGTGAGCCTCTCAGCTGGATCCCTCCACAAGACTAAACACACCTGCTCCTACTGTATCTCTGTCTGCTGTCCATCTGTCTGTTTGTCTGAATGACTGACTAAATATCAGGTTGTCTATCTGCTTTAGTGTCTTCTCTATTTGATTCTTTAATTGGTCTCTGTGCATAATTTTATTACACAGGTAACTTACGGGTGACTTGTTCAGAAAATGAGAATGGGTGCATGTTAACACACAGTGGTCAGCGTGTTTTGCATGTAGTTTGCAGAACAATAATATGCAAAGACAACTGAGTTCATTGTTTGTTGAGACCCCTTTCCTCCATTAAATTCACCGATATAGTGGTATATGTAATGTACACGTTATTTTGGTATAGAGTTATGTTGTATGAATTATTGCATTACACCCTGCTAAACTTTATGATTTTGTGCATATGAGCAAAAACATCTGATTTGGGCCACACTGTGAATATAACCATAAAAGTCTAACAGTTTGATTCCATGAACAATGACATATTGAATAATCTATAGGGATACAGTATCACATAAGGCCTCAGCATTTGTCTGAATATATTTGATATGTTGGGATAAGGGCTGAGTTTCCCATCCTAAGTGTGGTGTATATCCTACAAATAGCCACCATGGGAATAGGATCAGTTCACTGAGTACCAGGGACTTGTGTTTCTAGAAATTGGCCCTATCGTGCCTATTTACGGTCCATTTAGAGGCCCGGCTGCTCTGGATTCACAGTCACTGTGAATAGAAGCGCTGCCTCGTCTTTGCTCATGCTAATGGGCTAAACCTCAGGAGGTTGCAAGAAGCAAAGTTAATAAATGTAAGGCCAATTTATTGCCCTGCCTCTATCCAGAGAGGCTGGGAGACAAGAGGGGGGGCTGGTTGGTGGGGGTAGGAGTTGTTTACGGTGGAGACACTGGAGACACAGTGTGTGTGTTTCTGTGTGTGTAGTAGTTAACTTTGTCGAGCCTGACAAGAATACTAAGTGTGTATAGGAGATGCAGCTGCTGTGTGGGTGCTCACTCTGTCTCAATCCATCCATCTATCGCTCCCTGCTCACTTCCCGCTCTCTTTCTTTCCTACCACCGAACAGTTGGTTGGGTCAGTGTTCTAACTGATGGGCAGGATTTCCAACCATGTGTGTTTTCTGTTTGACTTCTGGATACTGTGATTGGCTGTTGGGGTTCCCAGGCAACCCAGGGTAGCCAGGGTAACAACTTTTTTCCCCCTGCAACTCTTTCACACTTTTTGTTACTATTTGTCTTTCTCCTCTATTTGTTTCTCAACAACACAAACACAAACAAACACACACACACACACA